GAAATTCACTTTCAGCCAACGCACAAGTGGTCCCTTTAAGAAGAAAAAAACATCACACGCATCTCATCTCCGGACGGCAAAAAGGTCGAGCTTTTCCGACAGCCGGCTCCCGGTAACCTCGGAGAAGGGCCGCACAGAGCCCCTGCCGGGAGGCTCCCTCTCGTTACCCCGGTCTCGGACTGTCCGACCTCGCAGCCCTGGGTTACAGGAAGGTCACCCTCCAGCGGCAGCCTCGGCAGACACTGGAGCGGGTACACCAACCTGCTAACACAGACAAATCTAGGCTTTCTTAGGTACCGGCAAGTGCTGATGCCGTTTCCTCCTCTGAGCTACACCCCTGACAATAACACAAAGACATACACTTTTACAGAAGTAGTTTAAACTGGTATAAAGTGGTTTAAACACGTGCCCTGGGTCTGAAAATTCAAATATAAAAATCTGAACTTACTATAAAATACTCTAAAACGTTTAATACATGTATACAAAATTCAATTCAAAAATAACTCTCGGGAAGAAAGATGAAAGAGCTGTGAAAATGAGTCACTCAACAGCCACTCAACAGCCCAGCTCCGCGTTTTCTCCTCTGGGTCTGTCCACTTCTTCCGGGACGGACTGGCACTGATTCTGTCACGCAGCCCGCCTGGCTATGCACCTGCCGGCAGCACTGGGACTGAACCCACGGCCTGCACACCGAGCTGCAGCCTCAGCTCTCTCCACTCGTTATTTTGACACGAGCTCTCTCACTGAGTCACCAAACTGCCCAAGCTAGACTCACATTTGTGATCCTCCTGCCTCAGCCTTCGGCAGTATGCCACCATGCCTGGTTTAAATCGTTCAGTATGATTAAATACCTCCTTTTAGGAAAAGATTTTAACTAATCTCTCCTTTCATACTTCAAAGAAATGCACTACCAACTCAGCTAACATTTGGGTAACATTACGAGGCTCACTGGGATGTACCAGCCCATTAATTTAGGCAGAAAGAATAATGAAACGGAAACATTCGGTCAAAATCTCCCTTCTTTGAACAGGTTCTGCCTCCTCCCCAGCACGGTGGCCACCCCGGACAGCCCTGCCCAGGGACAGCTTTCTCCCTTGCAGGCGCAGACGTGGTCTGTGCAATACCTGGACACTTTCAGGGGACCTCACCTTTCCCGCCCCCCTCCCGCCTCCCGCCACAAGGGCTTCTGCCTCATGTCCTGGGGGACGGCGGTGTGCTCTCACCAGGGCAAATGCAAACCGCTTCCCTGGACGCCTGAGGACGGAAAAGACTGCCCTCGGGAAAGTGCACGCTCCTGCTGTGAAGAGAGCCTCATGGACTCGTGCCCCGCTTCCCTACAAGACGGTCACCAGACGCCCATGCTTAAAATTAGCGCCTGGCTTGGATGCAGGCAGAGCACTTCCTTTTCAGCTAAGTATTTTTAGGAGAACTACTTACACAGCTAAGCGTGTTTAGAGGAAACACACTGACTATTCAACAGAAAAGTAACCCCAAATATCCTCAGGGCAATCTGAGAGGAAAGCAGCGCCCCCACGGTGGGCCCGACACAACGGACAAGACCAGACACGTACGAACTGCTTCTTCTTGTCGGTGGAGAGCCGCGTCATCTCCTCCTTGTCTGCCTTCATCTCCTCCTCGTTGTACTGGAAGTCGCGAACAATGAATCTGCATTTGGGGAGAAACAAGCTGGCCCACACCATCCACAGCTGCTCCAAGGAGACGACACAAACAGGAAAAGCAGACTCACTTGTTCTCCCTGGCTTTGAGCCGGAAGTCGTCGACGGCCTTCCGGAACAGGGTGACATTGCAGAGGTAGCTGTCTTGGTCCTCCGAGAGAACACTGGGGGAGAGAGACAAGCTCGTCTCAAGCACTGCCCTTGGCAGCGTCTTCCTTCCAAGGGTGGGGTCGGGAGGGAGGAAGGGACGGACAGCAGGGGACAACAGCCATGCCCAGGCCACCAGAACACTCATCACGCGTCCTTCCGCTCCAACTCAGAGGCTGCTCAGGGTTCAGCTCTGAGGCTGAGGCCGCAGTGCCAACGCCTCCGCACCCTGTATCACCCAACTTCTTATGAACCAACGCCATCAGCCATGGACTGGGCCCGAGCAGCAGAACCCAGCTGCAGGCTTCGCAGGCACCGCGCCCTGCTCTCCCGCAGTCCGTGCACCCTCTCCTGCCTGCCGGCCCCGCATACCACGCCCAGCCTCGAAGCCCACACCTGGCCGGGCCCAGGGTGCTGCCCATGTGGCCGAGCCCCCCTCCAAACCGCGGAGTGTCAGAGTTGCAGCTCTGCGACTTCACCCCGAAGCCCTTCCCAGACGTGAGCGCCACGGAGCAGAACCACCAGAAAGGCCAGTGCGACTGTGGGGTGGGAAAGCTGCTCCTTGGAAGGATAAGCTGCGTGGCCCCTAAAATACGCCACTCCACTTCCGGGAGTTCTGCTGCCCCGGGGACAGCGCCCCTGCACCGGCTAGGAGGCAGGGTGGGGCTGTGGCAGGGACCCTGGGCCGGGCTTTCTGTCCTTGTCTTCCACAAGCTTCTAAGGTTTGTGATATTGCATAAATCACCTTTACTGAGATAGAACAGACAGACAAAAACCACACGGACTGCGTGGACACAGCTAAGTCTGGCCACCACTGCCAGCCACTACTACAGCCGCGCTCCCAAGTACTCCTGGGCCCTTCATGGCTTTGTTAACATTCAGTTTTCATTTACAATGAGGCACTCTTGAAATAAAATAAGTTTCATAAAACTGAAGGGGTATTTATGGGCTTTAAAGATACTTTGGTTTGGGGGCAATTTTTTTTTTTTTTTGACTCAGGGTCTCACTCTTGAGTGCTGGGATGACAGGCATGCACAATCAGCCCTGTAATCCCAACACTTGGGAGGCTGAGTCAAGGGGACTGCTGTGAGTTCAAGGGCAGCCTATAACCTAGTTAGCCAGACCCCGTCTCAAAAAAGCAAACCAAGTCTGTAAAAGCCACCTCAGCCGGGTGTAGTGGCCCATGCCTGTAATCCCAGCACTCAGGAGGCTGAATCAAGAGGATTGCTGTGAGTCTGAGACCAGCTTGGGCTACATAGTGAGTTTAAGGCCAGTCTGAACTGCAGAGTGAGATCCTGTCTCAAAAAAAAAAAAAACCAAAGCCACCTCATCTGCCTTCTCTGTCCCCAGGAGAAGTCCTACAAAGCTCAGGAAACACAGCCACACGTCGTCAGCGTGTGGCCTTTGAGCCATCTGGCATGCATTGAGCCGCAGCCACATGATGTCACCCCTGCCCTCGTGGGGCTCTCGGGACCAGATCCACAGAGGGCCTGGACAGGCTGACAGTACCCCAACTGAGAGGCATGAGTCTCGGGTGCACACAGGGCAGGGTCAAGGCCTCGTGGAGCTCAGTACCAAGAGGCACAGGCCATGCGGGGCAGGGCAGGGGCTGCCGCAGGTTGGGGTGAGTGTGCGGAGCCCACGGCCAGCAGGTAAATGAGGAGAGGAAATCAACGCCAAGGCGGAGGGGAGGAAGGCAAAAGCAGGGTGCAGCTTCGTGAGTGAAGACAACGGGGACAGAGGCAGGTGACAGCTGTGGTAGCCTCACCTGTGGTCCCAGCACTCGGGAGGCAGAGGCAGGAGGAGCGCGTGTGACTAGTTGGGAACAGTCCAGGCAGTGAGGGAGAGATGACGTCAGAAAACACAAAACCCTAACCCGGCCGGCTCAGAGGTTCTCAGACTCCAGAGGCAAACCCTTGGCAGAGGCCGACGGCGAGGGAGGGGCAGCCGCAGACCCTGGAGAAAGGTGCCAACCTCGAGATCCTCAGGGAGGGGACGGCTGCAGTCCCAGGCACAAGCAGCAGTGACAGAAGTGACACGGGAACTCAAGGGAAAGCGACAGAAGCCATGCAGAGAAGAGGCCCGGACCCCGTTCTCCAGGGAGTAGGAACCGAGCGCGTCCCCGCCAGGCCCTGCCAGCCAGAACTGTGCCCACCGGGGCCCACACACCCCGCAGCTGAGCCCGCATCCCCCTCAGCAGTGCAGCCCAGTCTCTGAGGGAACTGCGAGGCCACGCTCGGCAGCGAGGGCCAGCGCTCTCTGGGACCTCGAAGCCGCCCAGCCGCAGCCCCGCCCAGCCGCCTGCCCTGTCTGAGCCTGCGCTGGGCTGAGCAGCGGCCGCCGAGAGCCGCCATCGGAGCAGGTGCGGTGCCCAGGTCCCGCTCAGCAGGCCGGCACTGCACTTTCAAGTTTCTCTCTCTTTCTTAACTATGTTTGAGATCCAATCAGACTTTCTAAAATTTCAGGGTAGGAAAAAGGACAGTGGTCATGCGGCAGGCACATGGAGAGTGCCCCTCGACAACAGTGTCAGGAAGCAGCCGCCAGCCCCGCCCGCCCCCACCCTGCCGCTCACCGCGCACGGGCACCAGGGCCAATCCCGCCAACCAAAGGGCAACGGCTTGCAATATGCACACTCTGTGCATTCTAGAAGTAAAACTGTCAGCGGACGTGGCGGCACACACCTGTAATCCCCGCGCTTCGGGAGGCTGAGGTAGGAGGGTGGCAAGTTCAAGCCCAGCCTGGGCAACTGAGCAAGACCCTGTCTCAGAATAAACACAAAAAATGCCTGGGGATGTAGCTTGGTGCAAAGGCCCCAGATTCAATCCCTAGTACTTAGGGAAAAAAAGAGAGAAGAGAAACATTGTCTGTTTTAAGCTTGAGGATAGTACTTTTCAATCTGTTTTTCTACCTCCAAATTCCACTGTCCCTGTGGGCTGACCCACCAGCCCGGCCTGCCAGGGAGTATCAAGTGAGTGTCACCATCTATAATGCATCGGGCCAACTGGAGACTGGCATACAGCACTCAGAACAATGGACACGCAGCACTTACTCAGAGACCTGGGTTACTATGGCAACCCAAAGGCTTCCTTCACAGCCAGCTGTGAGTGGAGGGAAGGCCAGGCCAGGCCGGGCCAGGGCGAGCCCAGCCCACTCTGCACACTCCGGGCAGCTCCCAACTGAGCGGCCGGCGGGCACAGGTCGGGGACCGCGGAGGGCAGCGAGCGCCCTTGGCTCACCCAGATGACAAGCGGTCGTGGCGACTCTTCCCGCCTGCTGTCTTCCCCTTCCCACCACCAAGTCAGCTGGCCAAGGCCGGACCCACCCAAGGGATGCGCTCACAGCCTTCCCTCCTGAGCGAGCTGGGGCCGCCTGAGCAGCCCACGGCCTGCACGTGTCTTCCCGAAGGTCTCGGTGCCCTGTGTCCTCACCCCGTCCTCTGCCTAGGCTGGGACGGGGGCCGGGGGACGGGGCAGGGACGGCATCGTGCAGGGCGCCCCTCCCACGGGAAACTCCCCGGGAGCACCGTTCATGGCTCAGTTCTCTAAGAGCAACACTGACAGGACGTGGGCGCTACTTATGCTCCCAGACTGTCGGCATGCTGCTGGCCAGCCCTGGACACGGCCACGGGAAGGGCCCTCGTCAGCTTACAGAGGAAACCAGGCCAATGGACAGCCTGACCCCAGACCACACAGCAAGGGCGAGCGGAGGCACAACAGAACCCAGGCCCTCCCCGTCTCATGACACGACATGAGGGGAGAAACGACGTCACGGGCCGGCCTTCCTAACACGGCTGCTCCTCCACCTGTCTTTTCTAAGGTCTCCCTGAGGACTCTGGGCGCAGACACACGTGTCTCGGACTTTCTCCGAGAATACCTTGCGAGGCGGTGGCAGGACGCAGGGGAACGTATCCCAGAGCAGCATTAGAAGCCTGCGGGACCAGAGGAGTCCGGTCCTAGCCCTGCCACTTCAGACACCGGACACTGCGGCAACCACTTAAGCACCAGCCTCCCTCACCTACGACAGCGAGAACCACTTCCCAAGCAGTTTCGCAGGCAGGTGTAAATACTACACGCCACACTGTGTGTCAAACCGGGAAACTAGTAAAGACTTTTTTAAAGGCAGGAAGCGATCTGGCGTATCAATGGAGGGCAACACAGCACTCACGTGAGTGGCCACCTGGGCCACTTCTTTTCAAGAGAAACTGGGGAATCAATCACGCGCTGGGCAGCCCAAGGCCGAAGAAGGTTCCACACCAGAGACCTGGGTTTCGGTCCCAGCCCCGCCACAAGCAACGTGTGAGGCCCTGGGCCAATGGCTTCACCTGGCACGCTCCAGCCTCGGGCCTATAAACTGAACGCCTCAGCCAGCCTGGGCCAAGTAAAAATGCTGCTTCTGGAGTTATAAATTTACCACAAAACGAAGACGACGTCCAAACCGTTAGGAGGAACTCCAGGACACAGACAGCTGGCGGAGACCCCAACTTACTTGCTCGACCTGGGGACCACCATCTCGGCCAGCGTCTCGTACTGCTTGATCCAGTCGTTGTGGTTCAACCTGCCGGAGAGGTAGGGTCAGCCCGGCCGGACAGCAGGCCTGCTTCCCGCCGCACCAGGAAGGGAGAGCAGGGCGGGGGCGGGGGGGATGTGCAAAAAGGAACCGCGGCTACAGTTAACAAAGGTGTTCCCGCTGAGGACGGCTTTTGAATACACCGTGTGCTCCGCCTCGTGTCCAGCAACTGCCGCACAGGGGCCCGGCCGTGTGCTGGGAGAGGAAGCGAGCCCCGCGCTGACGCTCCGAGGTTTTCCACCTCTCTGGTGGGTAAGCGTGAGGCCTCGGGTACATGAGAACAGCCCACACCCAGATCACCGTCATTCTGATCCCGGCCAGTGTGAAGGGCTGAGAAGACCATGTACAGAAAGCACAGAGGGCGGGAAGCAGGAGGGCCGAAGCGCCCGAGGCCACAGGGCGAAGGCCACAGGCGTGGGGGGGCAGCTTTGTGCCACAACGCGAGACGAACGCAGCACACGCAAGCCGGGGCTGAGAGACGCAGTGTCGTGTGCAAGGCGCCACAGGCAGCCCCACGTGTCAGCTACGAGGGACAGAAAACTGTGAGACGCTGGGATTCTAAACACAAATTTTAAGGCAAGGCTGAATGAGACATACTGGCAAAGGTGATTTCCCCATGTGGTGCAAGAGCACAGATACACAGAAATGTATTATAAATAATCAGTGTTCCAAAATAGCAGAAAAATTGCATAACTACAACACTAAACTTGTGGAGTGAACCCCTTAGTTTTACACCCTTCTCCGCGTGCAGAGAGAAATCTAAGAGCCTACACAACACTGCAGCGCCACGAGCCCACGGAGCTGCTTCCCTCCCTTTGCTTCTGGCACTGCAGGGCCCTAACCTGACCAAAATGAGCAGCTTCCAAGCAAGGGAGGCTTCACACAAGCACGCTCTGAAAACAGCCCGGGTCCCCCCACAGTCCCGACAGGCAGACTGCAGTGTAGGACGAGACGCAGCTGACAGCCGTCTCCCACGGCCCAAGCTCCGACCTGCCGCTCTCGCAGGCCTCGCTTCCCCAACACGGACAGAGGGCCTGGTCAGAGGAGCTCCGAGGCAGGCAGCCCGGGAGCATGCTGCACCCACGGCACGGCCTGTGCTGGGGGGTGAAGTTCTTCGCACACAGAGCCTCACCTTTCATTTCTACATCGTCTGCGGCTGCTTCACTGGAGCCACACAGCTGACACGGTGAGACGCATAGTGATAGATCACACCGCCAGCAGAGCCAAAGGCACTTCTATCCCGGCTCAAAAATGCTTATTATCAGGCCCTTGACAGGAAATAATTTGCTCACCTTGATCAAATCCATTCTTTGGTTCTACAGGGCTCTAATTTGTCCAACTAATCATAGAGATTTTCCAGAAAAAAAAAAAAAAAAAAGACTTTCCAATTCTAAAAAATCTAAAATCTGTTTTTAAAAATCCCACTAATTTAGACCGGGTATGGTGACGCACGCCTGCTATCCCAGCAGGCTGAGGCAGGAGGATTGCCATGAATTTGAGGCCAGTCTGGGCTACACAGTGAAATCTTGTCTCAAAAAACAAAACAAAAACACTACTTTAGCCTTTCGTTTTTAGTGAGCCAACTCTACCAATCTGAAGTTGTAACTGTGTAAGCCACACAACAAAATGCTGGTGACAGGTCATGCTCCTTCTGTACACATTTTTGGAAAACCTCAAACTGCAGTACCAGACACTAACATTACCTGGACTTTCACAAGGAGATACGTACTTGGGAACGACCACCAGTAAGGTGACAAGGTATTCCGAGTCCAGAACAAAGTCGTCCTTCTTCACGATCTCCGCCAGACTTCGGGTGAGCAAACTTCCTCTGAGGAGGAAGGAGACGGTTAGAGAGCTGCGTGCTGCTGTCACACAAGCGAAGAGCAGACCAGCCATCTCCACACGCACTAAAAACACGTCTCACGAGAGGGCTCCGTGCCTTCAGCCTTGCGCTGCCTCTCATGGTTTGTGTCTAGCTGTCCCCCAAGGCCTCATGCAGTCATGGGGAGGGCTTCTGGAATTTTTGATTGGTCCGTGGTCCAGTGCTGGGATTATGGGTGTGAGTGCTACACTGGCCTGGGACAGGTAGTTTCCTTACAATGTAAGGCAGGGAAAGAGGCTGCTTGCGGCAGCTCTTCCCTTTCGCTCTTGTTGCTTCTGCTGTCTTCTGCTATCACAAACTGTTGCCCCCTACCATGTTCTATGCTGCCTTGGAGCCTGCTGATTATGGACTGAAACCTCCACAAACTGTGAGCTAAATAAACCTTTCCTTTAATTTGGGCATCAAGTATTTTGTCCCAACAACAAAAGAAAAGCAAGACACTACCCAAGAAGCCAACAGCCAGCCACCTCCACGGCGCCCCTCCAGTCTGCCCTCACAGCCTCCTCCGAGCCTGCTGTAATTGTGCTAACTCAGCCTTCCTTGCTGCCAGAGCCCGACAGAAAGGCTGCTCCTCAGACAGCAATTAAAGTGGACTTTGCTGTAATTACGGAGTCACATCCTCTAAGCAGCACCTTCGGTTTTCCCGGCTCCCTGACATCAGCTGACGCCAGCAGTTCTCGTCACTTAGCCCACTAATCGCTCTTTCCCACCAGTCTCTGGTCTTCCGGGGGGTGGGATGTGCCCGGGGCAGGAACATCCTGACCGGTTCTGGGACGACAGCACCTCGGGACCCCTTTCTCTGGGCCTCGTGTGCACACCTCCAGAGTTCCGTGCCGCGGCTGAGGACGTCTCACTCCGGGGGCAGTCACAGCAGTGGGAAAGCCTAGACTTGCATCACGACAGGGTTCTACACAGCAGGTCACTGCTCTGCAACGACCCTAGGCCTTGGCCTGGAACAGTCCACCTCAGAAACACTTTTAGTGAGATATCCCAAATGGATAAAGGGATAAATCATGACTTGCTTCACAGGTGTTTATGAAATAAACAACCAGCCACACTTGTTTCTGCCTGAATTCTGCAAACTTAGGTTAATGAACTTTTCTCCAGCAGACTAAAAACAACACCTCTGCCATCCCAGCAGCGGCGCAGCTGGAAGGCACTAAGCCCGGCACCCTTGCTCAGGGCAAGCCCCGCTCCCGCGGGCCCCGGTGCTCACGCGTTCTTTCGCTCCAGGTTCTGAAGATTCCCCTTCAGGTTGTTGTATGCGGAGGCGCGGGACTTCAGGTCATTATCAATCTGTGTTACTCCCTTCAACACAGAAAAGGATAAAAACACATCAGATTTTCCCGCATCAACTTCCATTAAAATAACTGAAGTAGTTGGACTTTTAACGTCTACAAAAATTACTACTAGTTCCTGATGTAAGAATATCCTATTCTCTAAAACTACATTAAAGGGTCACTTAAAAAATAACCACCTTCATTTTCACCACATGAATGTCTCCTAGTAATGTTTTAGTCTGCACGCAGTGTACCTGTCATTACTGTATTACGGTACTGCTTTTGGGGGGCCGTGGAGCACAGTGTCGGCTGTGCAGTCCAGAGCAGCCCTGACCTGTCTTGGCCTCTCCAGGGCCAGCACCACAGGCCTGCAATCCCACTGATATTTTACTGTAAAAATCATGTCAACGGGCTGCAGGCCCCTGGGGCTGAAGATGCCTCAGCAAAGGCTTCAATC